CAGCCAGTGCTCTTAACCTCTCAGGCATCTTTCTAGCCCCCTGAAGGACTTTCTTATTCCAAAAACAAATGGATAAATAAGCCTGGAGTTGTTTGGGCTAGTGCTGGAATCTGTCATTTAACTGCTATTTTCGGAATACCAGATACAGCAAACACTCCGAAGGCAGGAAGACGGCTTGTGATCACTCACTTCAGACGTCAACTTCACTGAGCCTCAAGTGCCAGATCTTTGGGCAGACATGACTCTGGGTGTTCCTATGTCAGTGCTTCAGGATGAGGTTACTATTAACTCAGGAGACTGAGGAAATGGTTGGCCTTCCCAGTGTAAGGCGGCTTCATCCCCTTTGCTCAGTGAAGCATCATGATTGTCCAACAAACAGATAAATGATTTTCCACTTTGGAAAAACAAATCAGACTCCCAGATAATACACACACACGCACACGCACACATCCTGCTGGAGGAGAACATATAGACCCTTGGTGGCGCATAAATTGGAGAAACTGTCAGTGATACCAGGAAGGGTTGAATACCGCCAGCAACCCATCCTTGGCATGAGTATTCAAGGGGCAACCCTGAGTGTATGCATCAGAAGACAGGCTGTCATAGCAGCTTTAAAAAAAAGCTGGGCCGGGCGGTGGTGGCACACACCTTTAATCCCAGCACTCAGGAGGCAGAGCCAGGCAGATCTCTGTGAGTTCGAGGCCAGCCTGGGCTACCAAGTGAGTTCCAGGAAAGGCGCAAAGCTACACAGAGAAACCCTGTCTCGAAAAACCAAAAAAAAAAAAAAAAAAAAAAAAAAAAAAGAGCTGGGAAAAATGTGAATTTCTGGCAGGAAGGAGACAGACGAGGAATTTTGGGCTGTCAATTGTACTTTTTCATTTGCTTGTTTTGTTTAATTTTAGAGTCCTGCTATGCGGTCCTGGCTAGCATGGACCTTACTGTAGCAGCCAAGCTTGCCTTGAACTCATGGCAATCTTCCTGCTTCAACCTTCCAAGTTTCTGGTACTACAGGTATGTACCATTATGCCTAACTCTCTCTCTCTCTGTTTGTATGTATGTGTGTTTTGTTTTATTTTATGTTTTAGAAAGAGTTTCATGTATCCCAGGCTGGCCTCAAACTCACTACACAGCCAATGATGACCTCGAACTTCCAGTCCTGCCTTTGCCTCCTGAGTACTGGGGTTACAAGTGTGTGCCATGCACAGCTTATGTGATAATGGGGATCAAACCCAGGATTTCATGCATGCTCAACAAGAATTCCTTTTCTGAGACTGAAGTCTGCTCCTGAAGCAAGGGTGGCCCTGAGCCTTCTCATTACACTGAGAGGATTCCAGCTCTCTCCTGGCATTTTGGTGGACTGGCAGGGCCTAGCTTCCTAGCTCACATTCTGATTTCTGCAAAATAAGACAGGTCAAAGGAAGACTTGAAATTCATACAGTACACTTTAGACTTTCTTTTTGAGTTGGGGACTGTGCTGATAAAATATTATAACAATAACCATTACTTTTTTCAGATTTCATTTTATTTTTTATTTATGTATCTGTGTGCATATATGTGCACACATGTGTGTGGGTGCACTGGAGGCCAGAAGAGGGCATTACATCCCTTGGAGTTGGAGTTAGAGTTAGTTGTGAGCCCATGCTCCTGGTGCTGGGAACTGACCTCTTGGTCCTCGGGAAAAGCAGCAAGTGCTTGCTCTTAACCACTGAGCCGTCTCTATAGCCCCTAATTTTTTAATTTGTTCTCTGTCAACTTCATACATGTATGCAATGTATTTGATCATATCCAATCTTTTTGTTGTTGTTGTTGTTTTTTGTTTTTCGAGACAGGGTTTCTCTGTGTAGCTTTGCGCCTTTTTCCTGGAACTCACTTGGTAACCCAGGCTGGCCTCGAACTCACAGAGATCCACCTGGCTCTGCCTCCCAAGTGCTGGGATTAAAGGCGTGTGCAACCACTGCCCGCTGATCATACCCAATCTTAATACCCTCCTCCCACTTCTCCCTGGTCCCTCTAATACTTCCCCACACCTCATATCACACATCAAAACTAATAAAAATGGGTCAAAGAACTAAATGTAAGGGAAAACTATAATAATCCTTGAACAAAACAGGGGTGAAATTTATCTTGGCTTAAGCAATGATTCTTGGATATGGCACCAAAAGCTCTGTAATGAAAGAACACAGATGGGCTAGAGAGATGGCTCAGCAATTAAAAACACTGGCTGCTCTTCCAGAGGTCCTGGGTTCAAGTCCCAGTACCCACATGGCAGCTCACAACTGTAGTTCTGTGTAGGCAGAGTTTTTCCATCCCAACAGCTGCTTCCAAATTACCACACTGAGGCTTATATTACTTATAAATGCTTAGTTGATAGCTTAGGCTTATTACTAACTAGCACTTACAACTTAAATTAACCAATTTCTATTAATCTACATTCTGTCACATGATTCATGGCTTTACCTGTCTTCCAGCATGTCTTGTTCCGTCTGAGGCTCCTGGTGACCCTCTGACTCCACCCTCGCCCTCCTTCTTCCCATCATTCTCCGTTTAGCTTTCATGCCCAACTTCCTGCCCGGCTACCAGCTTGTCAGCTTTTTATTAATCAATGAGAGTGACACATATTCACCATGTACAGAAGGAATATTCCACAGCAGTCCTGTGAGATCCAATACCCTCTTCTGATGTGCAGATGTACATGAAGACAAAACATGCATATACATAAAATAAATATATCTTAAAAAAGAAAGACATATATTTCACAAATTTCCTTCTTTAGAAAACTTTTTTACAAGCTTAACTTTTAATATATTAGAAAATTAAGTGATGATTTTTAAAAGCAGAGTTCACATCAAATTAACATGTACTTCAGGGCAAAAATACATTTAAAAAACTAAATCTTAAGAAGAAAAACATTGGAAAAAAAAACCCCAGCATGTCTAATACAGACTGTATAATGTCATAATCTAGAGAATCTAGAGATTCACATAGTATTTTATAGCATTAAAATGTTAATAAAAGCAGAAGTATCATCAATTAGTCCAAGATTCCTGGGGTTATAAAATGTCTAGTCTGCTAATTGAAGTTTTTTCCCCCATTTTTTATTGATTCTTTGTGAATTCGCATCATGCACCCCAATCCCACTCATTTCCCAGTCCTTCCATACCTGCCCTCCAACTCTTTAACCCCCCCAACCCCCCCCCACACACACACAAAAGAAAATAGAACAAAGCCTCGCTGTGGGAGCTGCTGTATGTCCTGGTGTGTCACCTCGTCTGCCCTATCGTCCAACAAGCTTTGCTTGCAAAGGTTCATGGCCATGAGTCATTGGTTTGGTTCCAGTCCTCTCTCTTCGTCTACACCAATGATACTGAACCCTCACGGAGATTCCTCTCAGATAACCTGCTGCTGCCCTGAGTCATGGAGATCCTACAGCTTTGGTTCTGCAGGCTCTGCCCTTTCATGAGCTCCAGCAGCTCATAGATGGGGTAGTTGTTGGGGTGTGCCAACTCAAAGCCCTACTGGACAACCAAGTGACTACTTTTATTTATTTATTTTTGTGACTACTTTTATGACAATGGAATCAGCAGGCAACTTTACAGTTTCATCTGTACAGTTCTACAATATTAAGTAATACAAAGTATCTCTAGGCATTTGGAGACTCAGCTCCCCATGCTATCATCCATGCATGTGCATCGCTCCCCTTCTTTAAAAAAAATTTTTTTATTCCAGGCATGGTAGTGCACACCCTTAATCCCAGCACTCTGAGGGCAGAGGCAGGAGGATCTCTCTGAATTCAAGTCCAGCCTAATCTACATAGTGAGCTCTAGGACAGCAAGGGCTACAGAGAGAAAGTCTGTCTAAATTTTTAATTTTTTTCTTTAAAATTTATTTATCTATTTTTGAGACAGGGCTTTTCTGTGTAGACCAGGCTGGCCTTGATCTCACAGAGATCCACTTGCCTGGGATTAAAGGCGTGTACTGCCACTGCCGCCGCCGCCACCAACAGGCTTGCTTGCTTGCTTCCTTCCTTCCTTCCTTCCTTCCTTCCTTCCTTCCTTCCTTCCTTCCCTGCCTTCCCTCCCTTCCTCCCCTCCCCTTCCTTCCTTATTCCTTCCTGATAGGTCTTCTCTGTGTAGCCCTGGCTTTAACCAGCTACCAAGCCCAGCTAAAATGATACCTTCTAAAGGATGCGGATGTGCCATAATTTCCTTTATCAAACCGCAGCACTAAACAATTTTATTTTTTCAGGTGCTTTCCTCTAGATAAGGAGTGAGGTCTGGATTAAAGATGGTAAACAGGTTACTGGCCTATTAATGTTGGATAATTTCACCTTGGCGCCAGATGCAGCACCCAGCCTCAGTCTCTGCTAGTCGCCGTACCCTGCCACCCCAACGCCGTCTATGACCTGTGTTACCATTGTGGAGCAGTGTGGACCTTCGTTTCACTCGAGTTTCCCTGAGCACACAAGAAGAAGCAGTTAAACACTCCAAAAGCAGCCGCGAGGTGTAATGCCGAGCCTCCCACAGCTAACCAAATGCAGCAAAGTCTTCACAGGACGGGGCAGATGTGAATTTGAGAGCAATTCCGTGCATTAATTCACTCAACAAGAACTTACTGAGCAACTACTAGGAACAACATTATCCACGGCAGTGCATGAAAATCAATAAAGCAAGACATTAAAAATACAAGATGTTGGACGGTGGCTCAGAAAGAAAGGAAAAACAGGAGAGAGGAACTGACAAAGATGAGCAGTTAGTGAGGCTTCCGAAAAAAGACAATACACAAACAATAACAGGGCCGAGGACGTGCTCTGCTGCAATTCTCACGTCAGAACGCCCTTTAAATTTAGCCAGGAGGAAAGAAACTGCAAACACCAGGAACACACAGGGGCGCAGAGGCGGGACAACTTCAACTTCAGGTCCAGGGCCCCGCCCCCAGTGCCAAGCCACGCCCGTTTTATGAGCGTTCTCAGCCCTCCCCTTCCGCCCTCCTCCTATACTCACCCAGGTCTCGGTTGTCTCCGTGTCCGGGAGCAGAAAGTACGGTGGGCGCGGTTGTGCGCAGGCGCAAAGCACAGAGTGCGCAGGCGCCGTCCACAGCGCAGCGCTCAGGGCGACGTGGCGGGCGGGAGTACGGAAGCCGCTGGGAGAGGCTGCTCTCACCGCTAGTCTGAGCATCTCCCTGCTGCGTGGAGCTTCCGCTGGCACCATGTTGAAGAAATTCGACAAGAAGGACGAGGAGTCGGGTGAGGGACCCTTGAAAGCCTGGGGAGGCCAGATCCTCGCGGAGATTCCTAGGACCTTCCTGGGCTCCCTTCTTCCGGGCTTGTGTCAGAACCAGCGTCGAGGCCCAAAAGAGGCAGGGGCTTGTGCGCAGGTCCTTAGCTGTCCTCGGAGGGGACATGCTGTTAGCACCCGCCAGCTCTGGCCAGGATTGCTGTGTGACCTTGTGCGGGTCACCCTCCTCTCTGGGCCTCAGTTTCCCCATCTTATCAGAGGAGGGGCCCAGGTTATGCTCCCTTGTATTAACATCCGTCCTCTTGGTATTTGCCAGAGCTGAGTTGGTACCAGCCAATCTGGGCGTAACCAGTCCTGCAGCTAAGAACCCTCATTGTTTCATTCATTCAATAAACTACATATACTGAACATCAGGCACCTCAGGGATCCTGATATTGCTGCAGCTAAAACCATTGGGACACTCAATGCCTGCATTAGGAATATTAGAATGATCACATAGTGGAGGGACCAGACCGCAAACAGATAATAACACACATAATTAATGAGAAATGTAACATCTGCTGTTGGGGAAACTCAAGTCACGGGTTGGTTAGTGTTGGTTGTCACTGGCACATAGACTCAGGTTCTGGTTACATGAATGAATGCAAAATGTGGCACCGTGAGAGGCACAGAAATGGTGCTGGGTGACTGTTAGCAAATGGTCTGGGGAAGAGGGGAGTTCCCTTAACAGGATTTTTAGACAGAGAGTAGAGCCTTGACTGCCACTGGTAGATGACAGAGACTTCTTCCCCTTCCCTGTGTTGGGCAGTGTCTTGATATTTAGGGTCACGGTTTGGAAATGTAACTCAGTTGGTAGAGTGCTTGCCTAGCATGCATGAAGCCCTGTGTTTGATCCACAGCACCACATAAACCAGGAGGTGGAGGCAGGAAGATCAGAAGCTCAAGATGGTTCTCTGCTACTTTCCAAGTTCAAGGCCAGCATGAGGCTCTGTCTCAAAAAAGAAAAAGAAGGAAAAAAATCAGTTCAGGATTACAACCTGTAATCAGTGTTCTCTGTTCACTGTAGGTGGAGGCTCCAACCCCCTCCAGCACCTGGAGAAGAGTGCAGTACTCCAAGAGGCAAGTTCTACCACACCTGTCTGTCCGGTCAGGAATACTGGCAGTGCTGTCAGAATACTAACATATATAGAGTGCTGGTGTTCATTATATTTGCTAAGTATCGGTAGTCACTAGGGCAGTGCAAACAGACTGCAGGTATGGTTAGTAGATGAGTTAAGACAAATAAACTTGGGGCTGGAGAGATGGCTCAGTGGTTAAGAACACTGGCTGTTCTTCCAGAGGACCTGGTTTCTGTTCCCAGCACCCACATGGCAGCTCACGCCTGTTTGTAACTCCAGTTCCAGGGCTTCTGACACCCTCACACAGATATCCATGCAGGCAAAACACCAGTGAACATAAAATAAATTAAGAAAGAAAGGAAGAAAAACAGCCTTCCATTTGAGAATACATTTATCTGTACTAATGAGTTGTTAATACACACCCTGTGGTTCTCCAGGCCCTTCATGAACCTCAGGGTTGGCCATGGAAGGGAAGTGTACTAGATTTGAGATAACAGTTGCTTCTTCACAGGCTCGGGTCTTTAATGAAACTCCTATCAACCCTCGGAAATGTGCCCACATCCTCACCAAGATCCTTTACCTCATAAACCAGGTAATAAGATGAGGGTGGCAGGGAATACGGGGGTGGGGTGGGGTGGGGTGTAAATGGGGATGTACCCTTTTGACAACTCTGGTTGGAACGAAGGATCCAGCCCTGGGTCCCCTGAGTTTCCAGCTCTCATTTGTTGCCTGGAGTCCCTCTGCAGGCTCGGAAGGTCTGTCCTGGCTGACCTCCTGTCCAAAGCTGAGGCTTCTTTTATGATTACCACAGGGGGAGCACCTGGGGACCACAGAAGCAACCGAGGCTTTCTTTGCCATGACCAAGCTCTTTCAGTCCAATGATGTAAGTACATCAACCTCTGCTTCTCTAGAGACGAGAGACCTGTGACAGTCTGGGGGGAGGACTACCCATCAGCATGGACTGCCTTCCATGGCAGGCATCTCCTGGCTCTGACCCTCTCTCACTGAACAGCATTGATAGGGCTTTCTTTGTGTCTTTTCAGCCCACACTCCGCCGCATGTGCTACCTGACCATCAAGGAGATGTCTTGCATTGCAGAGGATGTCATCATTGTTACCAGCAGGCAAGTCTTGGGCAGGGGATGGCTCCTTGATGGGATACATTGACAGAGGCAACATGAACAGCAAAGGGACTTCGGGCATATGGCCAGTGCCCTTTCCTCCTAGGCCCACCCACCCCACGCCAGCTTCTAGACTATTGTGTTTCCTTCTCACTTCTCTGTCCCTGCTTCCCTTCTTCCTCCTTAGACAACACAGCCAGCATAGAACTTTCAGAAAGTCTTCAGGGAGTGCTAAGGAAAAGAAAAACAGAGTGCAAGGACTTTATGAAGAAGTCTGTTTGTCAAGTACTGGTGTCTGCATTAGGCTGAGTAATTTAGGGACAGATGTCACTAGTACAAATGTCCTTGAGAACTGAGAGTTAAAGCTGGACATGATCGTGCACACTTGTACTTTCAGCACTTGGCAGAAACAGGAGGATTGCTGCTAGTTTGAATCACCTGGGCTACATAGCAAGATATCTCAAAGAAAACAAAACAAAGAACAAAATACAACAACAAAACCCGAGGCCCAGTTTTCTTATTTCTTCTTGACTCTGCAATGCAAAGAGCGGTCCATACAGTCATATTCAGGTGCATTATGACGGTATTTACTGGAGCTGGAAGGATGGCTCAGTGGTTAAGAGCATTTGCTTGCCTTTCCAGAGGACCCGAGTTTGGTTCCTAGCACCCACATCAGGAGGCTTAAAACCATCTGTAACTCCAGCTTCAGAGGAATCTGATGTGGTGGAGGGTACCTGCACTCATTTACACAGTCACTTGCAAACATAGGTACCTACACATTACTAAAACTAATAAAAATACTAAAATTTTTTTAGAAAGATGGCACTGAATGTTTATCAGTCCACGTGTGGTTCTGGGAGTATTGTAGCAAACAGGAAAGCCATGATGTGTGACAGAGCTGTTCCTGGGGAGACACAACACACACGTCTACTCACCTCAGATAGGGATCCCACAACAAACCAAAGTACAGATACCACCAAAGTCCAGTTTGGTGAACCAGTGAATTTTATTGGAGTTGCTTACAGTAATGTGGGTGAGGGTCTCTTACAGGAACAGAAATGACTCAGACAGATGCATCACCAAAGCCCACCCCAACATGGGCAACAGCTCACAAAGCTGGAAACCTACAGCACACTGCACAGCCTGTAGGCAGTTCAGTTGGTTGGAGAGTGTCTCATCCCGGTGCCTCAGTTGGTCTAAACCTCTTCCGGGCAGTTTGGCGAGTTTCTGCTTCTTCCAGGCAGCTTCCCTGCTCTCAGAGTCTTGTGTACCACTCAGCTCTTAGTCTGAGAGGAAAGCTCCACTTTATTGCTTACTATGGCAGGGTAGGGCCTAGTGAATCTGGTCAGTTTTAGGGACTTCCTGAAGTTATTTTGAGTTGTTTACCCTCCTGCTTAAGAAGCTTCTCTGAAGGATAGAATGTTTCAATCTTAGAGGAAACCTATACAGAACATAGCCTCTGCAGCATCAGGATTTAAAGCAAATAGCCAGGCAGCCAGACTGAAAGCAGAACAGAAGGACACCAGCTTGACTTTGGACCAGAAAAGGCCTCCAGAATGGTCTGGATTCTGAAGGAGTAAGTCCAGGCTGAACAACCACATGTGGAAAGGCCTGAGAGGAGAGAACAGGTCACTGAGAAGCTGCTCAGTTGGATGCTTTAGGAAGCCTTGAGGTCATGGTGACCTACTGCCTGTACTTGGGAGTGCTGGGATTTCAAGCGTGTGCCACCATGCCCAGCTCTGTTGTGAGTTCTGTGACTGCCTGGAGCTGCTGTTTGGGTTAGAGCTTAGCTTGGAGGGGTGAGAACAGGGAACGGTAGTTAGGAGGCTGGTGTGGTAAGCAGGCAAGCATGGTATAGACTAGAGGAGAGGATGGCCTGGGGTCACAGTGCCTCCGTTCCCTGGCAGCCTGACAAAAGACATGACTGGGAAAGAAGATAATTACCGTGGTCCTGCTGTGCGAGCCCTCTGCCAGATCACTGACGTGAGTTCCTCCGCCCTCGGCCTGCTTCCCACGCTCTCAAGGGAGGCCTCGTCCCAAGCATACCCCTGGGTGTCTGCAGCTCTCTGAATTGGGTGGAGAGGCGGGGTGGGAGTGGATCATAGGAGCTTCTAAAGGTGTTGGCTTTGCTCTGCACCCCACTGCTTCCACGTCTGAGCTCCCCTTCTCCCACCACAGAGCACCATGCTGCAGGCTGTGGAGCGCTACATGAAACAAGCGATTGTGGACAAGGTACCCAGTGTCTCCAGCTCTGCCCTCGTGTCTTCCCTGGTACGTAGCTGTGACTGGGCCTGCAGGGGTGGGTTGAAGGTAGAGTAAAATGTCTGAGAGTCTTGTCAGAAGAGAACCAGAAACTCTGGGTCCATTGGGAAAAGCTGGGGTGAGTGACTTTGACACCCACCCCCCCCCCATGGCAGATTGTTTGGACTGGGATCAGGCAGGAAATCTGCCAGGAGGGGAGAATGAAGGAGGCAGCTGTACTGTCTGTCCATGGTTTTGGGATCAGGACAGTGAGGAGGCTCTGACTGCTTCTGAGAGGGGACAGGGGTGTGACAAGAAGGGCACCCTTCCTTTTGACCCCTTAACAAGTTCCACTGCCCACAGCATCTGCTGAAATGCAGCTTTGATGTGGTCAAGCGCTGGGTGAACGAAGCCCAGGAGGCGGCGTCCAGTGATAACATCATGGTACAGGTGAGAAAGATGCTGACAGGTAGGTGGGTACATCACACACTGTCACTGTCTATGCTCCACAAGTGCTGGTGGCCTCTGGCAGGACAAGCTTTCATCCTTGTGTCACTGGATGTGGGGAGATGGGGACTTGGGAGAAACGGCTGGGGCAGCACATGGGTGTTTGGAAAGAGTTTCTTACTGGAGCTGCTGAAATAGCCAAGTGCATTGAAAGGTAGATGAGAATGTTTTGGAACATAGGCCATTACCGCCTACCTGGCTGGGTAGACCAATGGCCATCCAGACCATTGGTGACATGCTGTTTCCATCAGAGAAACTTTCCTCAGTAACCTAAGCTGGTATGCCTCCCTCCGAATCTCAGTTTCTTTGGAAAGTTGGAAGAGTGAGACCTAAATGAGAAGCACACATAATGAGGGATGGGAAAGGCTGCTTTGTCCCTTCCCTTCAGCGATTGTCACTCTCTTCACTCATGTGGATCTTGCCTTTGGGGTCAGCACTGACCCATCAGCACATCTCTAAGGGTCAGAGACACTCACATGGAAAGCACATATACCTGCCATACCTTAGCCCTCAAATGCCACTTGACTAAGAGTGGACAAAAAGAACAGAAGTGACCTTGGTACCTTACATCTCTACCAGTGTCATCCCTAGTTATCTAGCCCTCCAGAGCCAGCTTGGCCATGAGTGGGACAGATAAGCAGGAACAAGCAGGCCAGTCCTCTGGGTGTTAGAAGGGTTTGTGTCTTATGTCCCACAGGACCACACTCAGGTCTTGCCCCCCCCCACTCCCCCTCCTCCCCTCCCCCCGCTCTCTGGAGCAGCTCATTCAGTTCAGGTGTCTTGTCCCACATAGTCAGGGTGCCTGCAGGGGCCTTGCTAAAACTCTGGTGCAAATGAGAACATTATGTGTGTGGTGTGTTGAACATTGTGCTGGAGTGGGTTTTGCAGAGTACTTGGGAAAATTACTGTAGCCCTTTTGTGTGAAAGTGATTGCTATACTTTCCTTAAAATAAGAAGCGTAAGCCAGAGACATACGGTGGCCTCAGTGCTGCACAGCAGTAGAGCTGGCCTTATGTGCTTGTTTCTTGTGCTGCCCCTGTCCTGTAGTACCATGCACTAGGACTTCTGTACCATGTGCGGAAGAACGACCGTCTGGCCGTGAGTAAGATGATCAGTAAGTTCACCCGGCACGGCCTGAAGTCCCCCTTTGCCTACTGCATGATGATCCGAGTGGCCAGCAAGCAACTGGAGGAAGAGGATGGCAGGTGAGAACGCTGGTCTGCCAGCTAGATGGGGTCCCCTGCATCACTGGGTTGTCCCCACTTGTCATTGCTGTCTTTTGTAGCCGTGATAGCCCGCTGTTTGACTTCATCGAGAGCTGTCTGCGTAACAAGCATGAGATGGTGGTGTATGAAGCTGCCTCAGCCATCGTCAACCTGCCCGGTTGCAGTGCCAAAGAGCTGGCCCCCGCCGTGTCAGGTCTCCATGCATCCCCTTCCCTGCCGCAGAGGGCCTGCTGGGCACAGGCCCTGAGCCAGAGGTTGTCTTCAGACAGACCATGGTCTAGGGGTGTCACAGGCATTGCTTTTGAGGTGGGCTGTTTTCAGTTCCATCTCAGTGCTGAAGAGGCAAGTGTGTGGTCCATACTAGCACTGATAGGTAGCTGGCTCCAGAGGAAGAAATTGGGGTGGGGCCCAGGACCTATAAAGCCCAATGTCCTCCTGGGGTAGCCCTGGAGCTCACAGCTGGACTCACTGGCACTGCTCTTATCAGGTAGGCAAGCCCCTGTCCTCTGACCGTCCTCTCAGGCCTCACTTCCCTTCTAAAACATGACCAGCCCTCTTTCCTGTGGGTAGTAAAGGCGGGATCTGTAGAAGCTATCCAGCCCAGTCTGAGACGCTAGCATGGATGCAGTGTGGGTTACCAAGAATCCAGCAGCTTTGTGTTGTTTCTGCTCTGGCCATCAAGTCAGTGCCTTGTCCACCCGCCCTATGCTGCTGTTAGCGGGGGAGTAGAGAATATGCACCCAGAACATAAAGAGCCGAGGGGCTGGTGCAGAACAGTGGCTGTTGAGAGTTCAAAAAGGGTCTGTGTTGGATCCCAAGAGTCGGAGAGAGGGATGAACACCTAACCAGGACCAGCCCAAAGGCAAAGGAGTGTGACAGGAGGGCTGGAATGATTGGGCTTTTCCTAGAGTTCCCCACAGTGGTGGTATAAACCTGGTGGAAAGATGGGGTTCCAGTTTGGAATAGCAGTCTCCCTCCTTGGAGACAAACAAATGAACAGGTGCATTCGCTCACTGACTAATAATTCCTGCGATATCTCCATATTTCCAGAGTAACGAAAGACACAGAGGCTTTAGAAGATGTGTTACCTTACTTTAAGAAAAATGTTAGTTCCAAAACAAGTGACAAGAGAGTAAAAGCTAAGCTATGCTTGAACATAGACAGGAACTCGGATAGTCGAGAATACAGTCCCATCCAAGACTATGCTCAAACACAGACTTCAGCTGTGAGCTTCGGGCGGCCAGGGTTAGGAAATGATATGGTCCTGATCTATGCTGTAGGGGTCAACTCTTTGGCACTGTCCCAGAGAGAATAAAGTTGGTCCTTGAGGGAGGACTCAGCTCCCCAGCTTGGTGTTGAGCGATGTTCCCCTGGGTGCTGTGAGCATGGAAGGAGAGAGGTGCTAAGTGCCTGGACAGCCCTTGACTTGAACCCTGCTCCTACCGGGTGGATGGTAACTAAAAGTCATTTTAGTTGCCCTGCTGCTGTTCCCTGGGAGTTGGGAGACTCAGTCATGTTACCCACTCAGAAGGCCTAGCTCATGGCAGGTGTTTAGTACGTATCCACCATTGACACGGGGCCCTCACTGACAAGGTTCAGGACAAGGCAGTTCTGCTGAGCAAAGGGCTTGCGTGCAACAAACAGGCCTGAGAGCTTATTCACCTTTGATTCCATGCTTGCTCCCCTGGGGCCCGAAGTATTCCACTGCCTGGCATCAAGGACAGCCTGACATGTGTGTCTGTCTCCCTGCAGTGCTCCAGCTTTTCTGTAGCTCGCCCAAGGCCGCTCTTCGCTATGCGGCTGTCCGCACCCTCAATAAGGTAAGAGTCAGGTGGAGAGGAGGGGGCGGGGCTGGACTAGCTGAGAGCAGGTCTCCTCCCTCTGAATGGGCTGGGAGTGGAGTAGACATAGTCCCCGAAGTCCCCTGACCTCTGGCCAGGCCTACCCTGTAGGTGAAATGACAATTGAGTCCCTCTGCAGGTGGCCATGAAGCACCCATCGGCAGTGACCGCCTGCAATCTGGATCTGGAAAACCTGGTCACAGACTCAAACCGGAGCATCGCCACATTGGCCATCACCACCCTCCTCAAGACGGGGAGTGAGAGCAGCATTGACCGCCTCATGAAGCAGATCTCTTCCTTCATGTCGGAGATCTCAGATGAGTTCAAGGTACCAAGTGCCCTCACAGCCCTCACAGCCTGCAGTCCCTTAGACGAGATGTTCTGAACCTGCTGTCTACGCCACTGGCTGGGGTGTACAGACCTGCTGCAGGTCTTTGGTCCTCTGTCCCTTTGAACCTTAAGATCAGTACTTTTTATTTTTTTTGGTTTTTCAAGACAGGGTTTCTCTGTGTAGCTTTGTGACTTTTCCTGGAACTCACTTGGTAGCCCAGGCTGGCCTCGAACTCACAGAGATCCACCTGACTCTGCCTCCCGAGTGCTGGGATTAAAGGCATGCGCCACCACCGCCCGGCTCAAGATCAGTACTTTTTAGACCAGGAAGGGGTTTGTTTATGGATTCTTGGAGTTTTTATTGAGCTCTTGCTGTCTGTCCTGGAATTTCAGGAGAAGGGGACAGCAATGGATGGGACAGACGCCCTCTGTTGGGAAAGATAAGCTTTAAGAAATGAACACACATGTAGACAAAGCCACAGCCTGAGATGCAGCGAGGAGCTGACAATCCACTAGTAGCTGCTGGGGAGACATGGATGAGGAAGGCAACGGGGGCCATGGACAAGGAGACAGGCCAGCTGGGGTCAGATGCTTTGGGGATGGCGAAGGGGATGATGTCAGCACAGGCCGGGCTGTTCCCTGCAGACCTACAGCTTGTGATAGCTTTAACTGTTAAAATAGACATTTGGAAAGGTTGTGGTTTGGGATTTATTTTCTTTCTGTTTTTCAAATCAAGACAGGCTGTCCCTATATAGCCCATGCTGGCCTTGAACTCAAGATTCTCCTGGGTTAGCTCCTTCATTGCTACTGGGATTGCTGGGGTGTGTCACCCATCACCCTACCTGCCTTTTGCTGTCCTTTTTTTCTAGACAGGGTCTTTCTCTGTAGCTCAGGCTGACCTGGAACTCAGTAGAACCCAGGATAGCATCAACCATGGAGCAGTCATCTTTCTGTTGTCTCCTAATGCTGGAGACTCCAGATGCCTGGCCCCATATCTGGCTTGTAGTATGGTTTTTGTTTTGTTTTGTTTTTCGAGACAGGGTTTCTCTGTGTAGTTTTGCGCCTTTCCTGGAACTCATTTTGTAGACCAGGCTGGCCTCAAACTCACAGAGATCTGCCTGCCTCTGCCTCCCGAGTGCTGGGATTAAAGGCTTGTGCCACCACCACCTGGCTGATTTTTTTTTTTTTTTCCAGTTTTTTGAGACAGAGTTTCTCTGTGTAGCTTTGCGCCTTTCCTGGAACTCACTTGGTAGTCCAGGCTGGCCTCGAACTCACAGAGATCCGCCTGGCTCTGCCTCCCAAGTGCTGGGATTAAAGGCGTGCGCCACCACCGCCCAGCAATTTTGGGTTTTTTTTGAGATAGGGTTTCTCTGTGTAGCCTTGGCTGTCCTGGACCTTGCTGTGTAGACCAGACTGGCTTCAAACTCACAGAGATCCACCTGCCTCTGCCTCTTGAGTGCTGGGATTAAAGTTGTACGCCACTATGCCCAGCGTAACTTTTAAACTTTTACTTTCAAATAATTCACGGAGTTTGCAAATAAATAAGAGGAAACGTCCTGGGCGTTTCTCTCAACTCCTGTGCCTACATCCCTCATAGTCATAGTATAGTGTCGACAAAGAAACCAGCAATTGTACAATCTCGAGCACTTACTCAGAGTTCATCAGTTATGAGGTGCACGTGTGATGCCTTTCAAAATTGCTGCCACAATCAGACTTACCCTCACTAGACAGGGCTCGTGCACTCCATTCCCAGCCCCTCGTCCCTGATTCTTGACAGTCACTAATCTATTCTTATTTTCCGTAGTTAGATTATTTCAGTGTTATGTAAATGGGGTCATGAAGTATGTCACTGGGGAGTTTTCATCAGAGCAGAGAATGGCGGGAACAAGTTTTGATACAGCAGGATAAATTCAGAGTGTGGGTTGTGAAAAGTGGACAGAAATCTACTCTGCCTGTGAGCTATATGAAGGTATATCGGCTGATGGTGCAGTGAGATTTGCACACAAGAATAACCATTCTAGACAGTGGAGGATGAGTTTGAGGAGATTGGTATCTCAGAAGATGAACTGGCTTAGGATCAAGCAAGAGGGCTAATGTAGAGCCATGTGAAGACCTGAGCCAATTAAAGAAAGAAAAGGGGTAAAGCAGAGGGAAGAAATAAGTATACCAAAGAGGCCTTGAGAAGAGAACAGAATGGAATGTTGGGTGAAAATGTGCAAGGTAGGAGGGAAGCAGGCCAGGCAGGGTTTGGGGATAGAGAGATCCTCACTTGTGCTATTGAGAGTGCCATGTTTCCCTGGGTGACCTCAGGCCTGTGTGCCCCAGCATGGAGTGGCTTTCCTCCTGGTTTCTTGCTCTTGTGTTGGGCCTAGGCCCATGGTGTTGCCTCAGGAGGGACTCTGACATTTAGTGAGCAAGTCATCAGGATTGTCAGGGGCTACTACTCATGCGTGTCTCTTTACCACAGGTGGTGGTTGTCCAGGCCATCAGTGCCCTGTGCCAGAAGTATCCTCGAAAACATGCCGTGCTCATGAACTTCCTGTTCACCATGCTAAGGGAAGAGGTAGGAGTCGGGCCTAGGCTGGGGTCCTGCCAGCTCTTTTGGTGCCTGGCTGTCGGGATCTGTTTCTCGGTATTAAGCTCAGCACACCGTTAAACAGCTGGCTTCCTGGAACCTGCTACACTTTAAGCTCCTGTGCACAGCTGATACAGCAGCACCAGCCACTCCTAATTACAGGAGTAATGTGTGACTCACCAGCATGGGAACAAGTCCAGCAGGCGCCCCAGGGCAGTGCTTGTGCAGAAAGGAGGATGTGTGTAACCTATTAGCAGGTAAAGCTTAGAAGGCCGAGTGCCATCCAGGAGCTCTTGAGAAGCTGGTGCTAAAATACAGCATTGGTTCTGGGGTGTGTTGTTTTGAGACAGGTTTCTGCCTATCCTCTTACTTTCCTGGAACTGACTGTGTAGATAAGGCTAGACAGGTTTCTACCTATCCTCTTACTGTCCTGGAACTGACTATGTAGATAAGGCTAGACAGGTTTCTACCTATCCTCTTACTGTCCTGGAACTGACTGTGTAGATAAGGCTAGACAGGTTTCTACCTATCCTCTTACTGTCCTGGAACTGACTGTGTAGATAAGGCTAGACAGGTTTCTACCTATCCTCTTACTGTCCTGGAACTGACTATGTAGACCAGGCTAGCCTTGAACTGACAGAGATTCGCCTGTCTCTGCCTTCAGAGTGCTGGGATTAAAGGCATGTTCCACTATGCCTGGCTAGTTCTGTTTTTGTTGTTTGTTTGGTTAGTTTTTCAAGACAGGGTTTCTCTGTGTAACCCTGGCTGCCTTGGAACTCACTCTGTAAACCAGGCTGGCCTCAAACTCAAAGATCCTCCTGCCTCTGCCTCCTAAGTGCTGGGATTAAAGGCATGTGCCACTTCTAGACTTGTTTGTGTGTGTGTGTGTGTGTGTGTGTGTGTGTGTGTGTGTGTGTGTGTGTTTTTTCAACAAAACCAGCTATTTTCATGGGTTCAGAAACATGGGGACTAGAGAAACGGCTGAGTAATTAAGACCACTGGCTGTTTTTCCAGAGGACCTGGGTTCAATTCCTAGCACCCATATAGCAGCTCACAACTATCTGTAACTCCAGTTCCAGGAGATCTGATGCCCTCTTCTGAATACCACAAGCACCAAGCATGCATGTGATACACAGATATACTTGCAGTCACAATACCCATACATATACAATAATTTTTCAAAAGACAAACAAAAAGTGGAACAGATTTGGCCCATAGACATACAGAGCCCTTTGCCCCAGTCCAGCGTAGACCAAGGTCCAACAGGAGAGCAGCTTTTGCATTGATTGCTTGGGCTTTCTCAAGAGTGTAAGGAGAAAGCATTAATGCCCTAAGAGCCTTCAGCTGCAACCTCAATATGTTAGAGACTGTATGTGGCATGTGGGGTCTCCCGATCCTCGTGATGGTCCTTGTCACTAATATTTTAAGAATAGGACTCTGGGGCCAGTGGGATGGTTCAGCTGGTAGAAGTGCTTAGCACACAACCTGATGACTTGATTTTAATCCCTGGATCCCATGGTGGAAGCAGAGAACCAACTCCTGAAAGTTGTCCTCTGACCTCCATGTTTGTGATGTGGCATGTATAGGCCTGCACTCACACACGATATATGACACATACACACAGAATGATTGTGTGTGTGTGTGTTTTAAAAGAAGGACTGGAGAGAAAGAGAGTTCAGTAGTTAAGAATACATACTATTCTTGCAGAGAACCCAAGTTTAGACTCATTTAGCAGTTCATAACTACCTATAACTCCAGCTCCAGGGAATCCAACACCATCTGCTGGTCTCTATAGATCAGTGGGTACCTGCATTTGTGTGCACATTCCCACACTCAGGTGTGCACGCACGCACGCACGCGCGCACGCACGCACACACACACACACACACACACACACACACACTTAAAAAAAAAAGAAGGAAGGAAGAGGATTCTGGGAACTAGAGGTGTAGCTCTGTTGGTAGAATGTTTGCCTAGTATGCACAAACCCTGGTTTCGATTCCAGCTCTGTATAAACTGGGTAGGTGATACATACCTACAATCTCAGCTCTTGAGAGGTAGAAATGAGATGAGGAGCTCAAGGTTGTCCTTGGGTACATAGAGATTTTGAGGTTAGCCTGGGATACACTAGACGCATCTAAAAGAAACTGAATCAGAGGCTTAGTAAGTGACCTGAGTGCAGAGACTTGCCTTCCAGGTAATTCTGAAGAGCTAAGAAAACACTTAGTGCCTCTGGCCCTGAAACCCATGCTTTTCTCACTGAAAAAGCCCAGGCTTTGTCTCCTCAGCTTTCGGCTGCCTCCCTGAAGCTCCTTGCTTTACATAGCAGTCAATGTAATGGCTCCACTGAGAGGCCACAGCACTCGGACTTGAGAACTTGCCTTGCTCTTGCTGACTCTGTCACTAGTGGGAGCCAGTGGGTGGCTGCAGCAGTGAGATTGAAGTAGCATTTGAGGGATTGTAGTGCGGGATACATTGCTGACCCTTGAGATTAGTTCTTACTGTGTAGTCCTGACTAGCTTTAAATTTAGGGAGCAGCGCTTCCTCCCAAGCCAGCTTCTCAATGAGCTCTAAAGCACATGGCAGTTCACTGACAGAATGTATCATTCTCTCAGCAGGAGAATTGGGATCCAAAGTGTTCCCATTCACCTTTCTGTTCTTAGACTTAGAGGCCCAGTGAGCTTCCAAGCCAAGCCTTTGTTTGACCCAACAAAGAGACAGAAACCTAGGATCTGGACCTCAGCTGGTCTCTAGAGGATGTGAGCTCTTTGCTTAGCTAGACATTTGTCTCTGCAGGGTGGCTTTGAGTATAAGCGTGCCATCGTGGACTGCATCATCAGCATCATTGAGGAGAACTCAGAGAGCAAGGAGACGGGACTGTCCCACCTGTGCGAGTTCATTGAGGACTGCGAGTTCACCGTGCTGGCAACCCGGATCCTGCATTTGTTGGGCCAGGAGGGGCCCAAAACCAACAACCCCTCCAAGTACATTCGCTTTATCTATAACCGCGTGGTCTTAGAGCATGAAGAAGTTCGGGCAGGTAGGTCTGAGCTGGGGTGATCCTGGGCTCCCGACTTCTTTTGCAGCGAATTTGCCGGCAAAGGGACCTAAGCCCTCAGGGGACATGGCCTTGTGAGCTGTTTTTTTTTTTTTTTTTTTTTTTGGTTTTTCGAGACAGGGTTTCTCTGTGTAGCTTTGCGCCTTTCCTGGTACTCGCTTTGGAGACCAGGCTGGCCTCGAACTCACAGAGATCTGCCTGCCTCTGCCTCCCGAGTGCTGGGATTACAGGCGTGCGCCACCACCGCCCGGCGTGAGCTGTTTTTTTATTGTCAGAAAGACTCTATATGTCATCTGGATAAATGACTTTCTACAATTTAATTTTATTCAAGTTTCACTGTATATTAGTGCTTAGAGTGTTTTACTTTTTTTTAGTTTTTTGAGGTAGGGCCTTGTTATAGAGCCAGGCTGGCTCATACTTGAAATCCTCCTGCTTCAGCCTTCTGCATGCTGGGATCACAAGTATGCACTGCCATACCTGACCTTTTTTTTTTTTCCTTTACCAACTCGAGATATAACACACTATAAAATTTACCTTTTTGTATAAGGCAGTGATTTGGCAGTCTACCATCTTGTTCTTAATTTCATGTGATTTTCCATTTTCTTTCTTCTACGCCCCCTTGGAAGGTTTTCTTCTTGTAGCAGTTGCTCTTCACTAAGTGGTGGTTTACTTCCTCCTGTGCTGTAGTTCAGGCCTAGCTGCAGCTGAAGCTGTTCTGAGTGAGTGATCTGACAGTGTGGATAGCGTTTGTGGCCTTCTTCATTTGAGACTGGCCCATAGAGCCCTAGAGCAGAAGCCACTGCTCTGTCTCCCCACTTTCCCCAGTAACTGCAGGAGGAAGTTGAGGCTGGGTAGCACCAGGATCCACCAGGATTGCTCAAGAGCTGCCCTATGAGTGTATTGGTGCCACCCCCTAGCTCTTGGGTATGAGTTCCCACCCTGAGCATTAATGGCACCCTCAGCTCTCTGGCAGGTGGGCCTGAGGGGCTGTTGGTGAATCACATTTATCTTGGTCTTGGAACTAGGTGCAGTTAGTGCCCTGGCCAAGTTCGGAGCCCAGAATGAAGAGATGTTACCTAGTATCTTGGTGTTGCTGAAAAGGTGAGTCTCGGGGCAGGAGCCAGAGTGCTTAACAGTATGTTAACAGTGTTCCCTTGGGTCCTCCCGCCCCCCTTATTTTTTTTGAGGCGAGGTTTCTCTGTGTAGCCCTTGGCTGTCTTGGAACTCACTCTGTAGACCAGGCTGACCTCAAACTCACTGAGATCCACCTGCTTCTGCCTCCCACATGCTGGAATTAAAGGTTTGTGCCACCATACCCAGAAAAGATTTAATTATTTTTATCTCATTTGTGTGAAGTTTTTGCCCGCGTGTGTGTTTATGCACCGTGTGTGTGGTGCTAGTACCTGCTGAGTGCAGAGGAGGGTATAAGCATGTCTCCTCTGAGCTCACGGGCACCTCTGGGTGTTTTGTCTCTTTGGATTGTCTTGTTTGCTGGGGGAGATCTTTACTAGGGAGCTGTCCGCCACTGAACTGATCAGCCCCTTGTGTTTCATGCTGTCATTTAAGAGACTACTCTTAGCAGCTAAGCGTTAAGAGCTCTGCATCACCTTAGCACCCCCATACAGTCCTGCAGGGTCCCTTTGACACCCTGGCTTGTGCTCAGTCAGGAGTACTTTGTGTCCTGGCCACAGGTGTGTGATGGATGACGACAATGAAGTGAGAGACAGAGCTACCTTCTATCTGAATGTCCTGGAGCAGAAGCAGAAGGCCCTCAATGCAGGTTATATACTAAATGGTAAGTCTTCTTGCCTGCCCAGGACCCAGTCCCCTCTTGGAGTTTTTGGCCCTTCCTGTGCCCTAAGAGCAGTTAGTCTTGCCCCTGAGCCAAGACATCCAAGAACATACATGCTTCTTTGGACTTGTATAGCAACTTCTTGGATTGATATGACCTCAGAAGCCCCAGGGTCGTGTGGCTTGAACCCGTGTCAGTGGAAATAGCCAAGTAAATTAAAGTTCTCTTTGTGTGTGTTACTCTGGCTTGGACCCAGGGCCTTACACATGCTTGGCAAGTCTCCACCATTGTGTTGTATCTCAGTCCAAAACTCTTGTTGTTTTGAGATAGTGTCTCATTATATAGCTTAGGTTGGCCTGGAATTTACCACAATTTTCTTGGCTCCATGTCCAGAGTGCAAAACACTCATTAATAAAAACATTTAAGCCTGATATGATGGCTTCTGCCTCATCCCAGTACTCCAAGGAGGCTGAGGCTGGAGGATAGGGAGTTCGAAGTCAGCCTCGGCTCCATAGCAAAATGACATTTCAGACAAAACCAAACAGTAAATAAAATGGAAACTTCTATTGTCTTAGTAATTTTTTAAGTCACTTTATATTTACCTACCCCCCAACCCTCTGGAAAGGAGGATGAGGAGTAAGGCTCAGAGGTTCCGTGATTTTCTCAGCATCAGCACATTTAGCATTCATAACGGGGGATCCAGGCCTCTGTCCTCCCTAGGTGCGACATGCCTAGCTGTCATGCCTGCCAGGTAAAATGACCTCTCCACTGGCTTTAGGTCTGACCGTGTCTATCCCTGGTCTGGAGAGAGCCCTGCAGCAGTATACACTGGAACCATCAGAAAAGCCATTTGACCTCAAGTCTGTGCCTCTGGCCACCACCCCTATGGCAGAGCAGAGACCAGGTAAGGCCCTGCTCATCTCCAAGGCCCATGTGTCTCCCTTGGCTGCAGAATGGACCAGGATGGGTGGGTGTGCTGAAAAGAGGGAGTAGCCCTTGCCACCTCTTGCTTCAGGCAACGGGGACAGCCAGGCTGACAAGCTTGCTCTTTTCCTTATATGCATCTCTCTCAGGAGAGTTGGCATTTATAATGTCTGAGGAATAACATGGGGTCAACAGCACCATGCTGCCTGGGACTAGAGCTGTGGGTCACCAGCTCTGCTTGCTCTTGCAGAAAGTACTGCCACCGCCACAGTCAAACAGCCAGAGAAAGTGGCAGCCACTCGGCAGGAGATTTTCCAGGGTAAGTAATGGTCAGTATGGTCAGAAGTTATGTGACTTCAGAGCCTGCCAGCTACTCATCGCATGGGACCTGGTCTCTCCCTCTGTTTAAGATTAGGAACTTCAGAGGATGTATGCCTCAATGGTAGAGTGCCTGCTTGGTGTGTTTGAGATTCTGCATTTCAGCCCAGCCCCATTTTTTTAAAGAGAGCAAGAACTTTATTGGTTCTCGTGCATGCCAGGTGATTGAGAGTACTGGGGCTTCTTTCATGTTTGCGTCTGAGTGCTCCTGGCCTTGCTTCCAGGATATGTGATGGAGTGTAGCCAGAGTTCAGAGACACTGGTGCTTGTTTTTGATTCGTTACATGTTCAGTCCATGTTACCTTATAAAGTTTGTCTGCTGTTAAAACACTGGTTTTGAAACCGAGAGACTATTGTCAAAGAACTCGAGCTCAGCCCACCTCCAAATCTTGTCCTGTATCTGTTCCTTATTGCTGCAGTGACAGTTCCTCAAGCCTTGTGAGGCACAGAGCTGACCAGTGACTGCAGGGAGAAAGCTTGAGAAGGGAAGAGAGCAGGGTCTGAAGCTGCTAGAGGTGGACACCTTTTACAGCCACCTGGCATGTGCCTCTTCACCTGCTTTCAGCCTGTGACGAATTAGCCTGGTAGAGTCATGGGGACCCTGGGCTAGGACCTGGCCATGGTGCATAGTGAGGAGTCTTACCCACAGGCCATGCTAAAGTTTTCTGAAGGAAAAGTTTTATTTATTTATTTACTTAGTTATTTATTGGTGCTGGGATTGAACCTAGGGCCTCAAGCATGCTGAGTATAAGTGTTCCAACGCTGAACTATAGCTCTTGTTATCTTTGTTATGTTGAGACAACATCTTAATGAGGTACACAGGCTAGCCGTGAATTCACTCTGTCCAGCAGGCAGGCCTTGAACTGGCCCCTCCTGCTTTGTCCTCCTGAGTAACTGGGATTACAGGCCTGTGCTACCTAATGTCTGGTATTTCTGCAACATTCTGAAGTAGCTCTTCATTGAGCATAGTAGCACTCACTTGTGATCTCAAGACAGCAAGCTGAGGCAGAAGGATCACAAAGTTGAGGCTAGCCTGGGCTACGGAGTTAGACCCTCCAAAAAAGAAGAAGCTCATTATTGGCCTTATGTCTTAACTGTCCAGTACATAGAGTGGATTTGCCCTTCACCTGAGTTTGTAACTTTAACAGTACAGACTTCATCATCATAGTCTTCCTAATCTCCATAATCTCCATCCAGCTCTGCAGTTAAGTGCACATGCTGTTCTTACAGAGGACCCAAGTTCAGTTCCTTACACCCGTGTCAGGTGGCTAACAGCTGTCCCCTCCAGTCTCAGAGAGAGAGATAGACAGACAGATGGACCGAGAGAGACACACAGAGAGAATATGAATCGTTGATGAACTAAAGCTAAAGGTCTTCAGATGGATTAGGCCTGGGACATTGGGATCTCAGACTTGGTGAATTGCTTCAGAGGTCTTGCATAAGACAGAGAGGCATCTTCCTGGAGGGTTATGTAGCATGAACCAGACAGAGCTGAGAAATGTGCTGAGGAAGAGTGAGCAGCCAGTTGGACGTGCACAGGTCCTCCCTCTCAGGAGGGTATGAGGCCTGGGTGTTCACGATTGGTGTGGAGATCCAGAAACCAAGTGAATGTGGCCTGTGGATTTCAGAGCAGTTAGCAGCGGTGCCTGAGTTTCAGGGCCTGGGACCCCTCTTCAAGTCTTCACCTGAACCAGTGGCCCTCACCGAGTCAGAGACTGAGTATGTCATCCGTTGCACCAAACACACCTTCTCTGATCACTTGGTGTTCCAGGTAAGCACAGTGGCCTGAGACCCAGCCGGTGCCTGCATCCAGGAGCAGTCCCAGATCTGATGGGTCCTGTAGGGCTTACCATTGAGTTGGTTGGGGGCTCAGCTTGGTGACCGTACCTGTCACCAGCAGGCGTGTCTCATCTCTCTTTGCCCAGGACTTCTATAGCCAGTGAATGTCAACCAGGCAGAGGGCTGGGGATGGGGGGTATATCCCTCCTCTTCCCATATAGTAACATCTGAGCCCTACTCCTCCTTATCCAGTTTGACTGCACAAACACCCTCAATGACCAGACCCTGGAGAATGTCACAGTGCAGATGGAGCCCACTGAGGCATATGAAGTACTCTCCTATGTGCCTGCCCGGAGCTTGCCCTACAACCAGCCTGGGACCTGCTACACACTAGTGGCTCTGCCCAAGGAAGACCCTACAGCTGGTAAGCTCTCTGCAGATACCACCCAGGCTCCTTGGGAGCCGTGCATCGAGGATGGCATAGAAACTCCTCAGTTCAGGCATGAGACTTGCTCAGGCCCAAGTTCCTTTCCAATATTACCCTGTTTCATTCTCAGAGCAACTCCAGGAAAAGGCCTGCCTATTCCTGCTCATAGGTGAGGAAGCTGAGGCTGAAGTTAGATGGGTTGTATTGAGTTTAGAATCAAAGCCTGTTTGGTCTTCAGACAATTTAGTACTCTTTCTTTATGGCGCTCTCTCTCAAAGACACGCACAAACACCCATGCATCTCAAATTCATCTTTCCGGCGATCTGACCAGCTTCTTTTTCTATGATGGACAGTAGCCTGCAGCTGAGGCATGGTCAGAGCCACGCTGCATTGTGTCTGGTTCTTTAGTCTTGTCTTTGGACCTGGGCCTGGACACTCCCGTCCTAGGAGGTGGTGCCGCCTTTGTCCAGCATGCTGGGGTTGATGGTATGTTAGCTGTTCCTAATGCTGCCTGAAGGACAGGACATGTCCACGTGATTCTGAAGGAGCTTGTCTTCATCCAGTCCTTCTTCCCCACAGTGGCATGCACATTCAGCTGTGTGATGAAGTTCACCGTTAAGGACTGTGACCCCAACACTGGAGAGATTGATGAAGAAGGCTATGAGGATGAATATGTGGTAAGGGGATAGTGTCAGGGACTGAAGCCATGGCTCAGTGGTTAAAAAGGCACTGGTGCTCTTTCAAAGGACCCAAGTTTAATTCCTAGTGTCCACATAGTAGATAACAACTGTCTGTAACTGCAGTTCCCGGGGATCTAATGGCCTCTTCCGGTCTCTGCAAGCACTATATGACTGTGCTGCACAGGTATATATATACATGTGTGCACGCTTTTACATGCATTTCTGATTATTTTCTTAGGATAAATTCCTAATTGGGGCTGGAGAGATGGCTCAGAGGTTAAGAGCACTGCTTGTTCTTCCAAAGGTCCTGAGTTCAATTCCCAGCAACCACATGGTGGCTCACAACCATCTGTAATGAGATCTGGTGCCCTCTTCTGGCCTGCAGGGATACGTGCAGACAGAACACTATACATAATAAATAAATCTTAAAAAAAAAAAAAAATCCTAATTGGCTCAAAAGGAAAGCATGAAGACTTTAATCACTGTAGTCAAATTGCTTTCTAGATAAATCGGGCTGCTTTGCTCTGCTGAGCCACAGCGTCCCATAGTCACTAGAGTACAGCTGATGTTCACCCTTTAGAGTAACAACCATAGGAGAGAAGGGCCATTCCTGAACCAAAATGAGGCAGGAAGTGCCTTCAGACTTCTCTCCTCTGGGGAGCTATAGCTGAGGTACTGCTTTCACAGTAGTGGCTGTATGTGCTGTAAACACCTGCCAGAACAGATTTCTGTGAAGATCTGTTGGAAGAATGGACAGAGGAGCCTTCGTATGGACATAGCCCAAGCTGGCTGAATGGGAGTCTTAAATGTCAAGTTCACAGCTGAGGTGATAATAGAGCCCAGCCTGTGTTGTTCCTAGAGGACACAGCTACAGTACAGAATCGGCTGAAGAAATGGCTGCTGCCTGTTGAAGGAGTGCCACTTTCATCGAGTACCTTGAGATGGGTCCCAACATAGCTTGTTCTGTCCTGAAGCCCACATGTTCCCGCCCTGGCAGATACCTGCTAAGTGAGCTGCGGGAAGGAAGGGAAAGTAGATGAGTTCAGAGCAGAGGCCTAGAAATGGAACAGGAAGTCTCTCCCTAGAGTCTAACTTCTATCCCCATTTCTCCAGCTGGAGGATCTAGAAGTTACTGTGGCTGATCACATCCAGAAAGTCATGAAAGTGAACTTTGAAGCAGCCTGGGATGAGGTCGGGGATGAGTTTGAGAAGGAGGAAACATTCACCCTGTCTACCATCAAGACACTTGAAGGTACAATGCTGGAGACACCATCTCTGACCTGGCTGCCTTTCAGAGCCCTCAGCTGTACTGTAGCTGTTGTGTGCCTTCCTCTTCCCACCAAGAATCCACGGCCATATCTAGAGCACATATGCTGAGTGGTAGTGGCCTGGAGACTTGGTACTGGGCTTGTGGCTCAGCAGGAAAGTGGGTATGTTTGAGGCCCAGGATTTAACTAGCGCCCAACAAAATAACACACACACACACACACACACACACACACACACACACACACACACACACACACACACAAAAGACTTAATAGTGCTGGGGTTTCTTCCTACAGAGGCTGTGGGCAATATTGTGAAGTTCTTGGGAATGCATCCTTGTGAGAGGTCAGATAAAGTACCAGAAAACAAGAATACTCACACGCTGCTGCTAGCTGGTAAGAAACATCTCCTGTGCGAGGGTCTGGGTAGCTTTACAGGTGGGGATGCTGCTGGGCTTTGTCTGCCCCCATCCATCCATCCCCCCCAACACACCCTTGTGCTCAGTAGTCCTGGCAGGGCCTTGTCCTTTTTCCCATGAGCCTGGCTGCAGTGGGTGTGGCCTGATGGCTTAGCATTTCCCCCTGACTGCTGGTCTCTGAAAGCAGCAGGTCTATGATCTAACATCGGGGATACAAAGGCCATCTCCCCAGCCCCCAGTGTAGTTTAATGTAAGTTTTTGCATTTTGAATGAAGTGTCTTCCATTCATATTTCTTTTTCCAGTAACTTGTTGATGTTCCTTTGTCTAATGACCAACTTTATTGGTTGTTTTTTGTTTTTGTTTCATCTAAGAAGAATGGGTATGGGGCCTGGCCTGGTAGCTCACCCTGTAATTTCAGCATTTGAGAAACTTTTGGGCTCAAACACCTAAGCAAAGCAAAATGAAAGAATGACCATTTAAGCATTTTGTCTTGGAAATTTTTTCAAACACATACAAAAATTAAATAGGGCATATAATGAACACTAACCGTCTTCCCACATTCCGAACACCTGTACCCACTCTCCCCTAGAGTATTTGCATGCAAATTATTTGTGTAATTCATATGTAAATACTTGATATCCCCTGTTTAACTCAAAAAGGGCCCTAGATTATTTTATCTGAGACAGTTGTGGGGATGGAGCTGGTAATTGAGGGGATTAAAAACTCCGGGACTGAGGCTAGGCAGATTCTTGATGCAGTCTTGCTGTGTCACCCAAGATTTCTTGTTCTTGTAAGTAATCCTCCTGTCTCAGCTTCAATGAACCACATACCTGGTTTTTTGTTTGTTTGTTTGTTTTGTTTTTTTGTTTTTTTTTGCCCCCTCCAGTGCTGATAATCAGACCCAGAACCTCTTGGCTGCTAGGCAAGGCAAATGTTCTACCATTGAGACACACCCAACCTTGGGGTTTTTTTGAGGGGGTGTTACTTATTGTGGGGGTGGGGTGAGGTGAATGTTTACAAACACGGTTGGGAAGATGTTCTGCTTCAGTGCGTGCTCACAGACCACCGCCACCAGGCTCACCCCTCTGGCCCTGATGAGGTAACTCAGTCCCCTGGGTCTGTCCGACACCTGCTTTGTGGTTTTTTTTTTTTAATTAGGGTTCTTCCCCTCATCAGCACTCTCAGATTCAGCCACTGTGTGAGAGCCTCTAGCATGAGGTTTAAGCCTTTCGTATCTGTGCTCACTTGAGCCTGGCAGGAGCCTGAAATAGTTAACATTCTTACTGCCATACTTCATTGTTAAGGGTGCCAGAGTTCTGAGAAGCAGTGAGGTTTGCCCAGCCCTCCCAACTGGGCCTCAGCATAGGGGCTGCCTTGATCAGCTGCTACATGTGTCATTAAGGAATGTAGCCTCCACAAACTACTTCCTCTCTTCTTCCAGGTGTGTTCCGGGGCGGTCATGACATCCTTGTGCGCTCTCGACTTCTGCTTTTGGACACAGTGACAATGCAGGTGACAGCCAGAAGCTCCGAGGAGCTGCCGGTAGACATCATCTTGGCATCAGTGGGCTAAGGTCCAGGCTACCTAGGCCCTACTCCTACCTTTTCCAACACTACGTTGAAGTAGCTTCTTCCCTGTGAAGCCAGTGGAAACCCTTCCCCGAACCTCTGTATTCAGAAACAATCACAAATCAATACAGATTTTTTTTTTAATTCCATCCTATCACCCAGGAATGCTAGGGTAGATTTTTTTTCACCCTACCTGCAAGGAGACATCACAAATGAATAAAATGTTCAGACTTTCTCGAATATTTATCCCCAGAAAAACTGTCTTATCCCTGTAATAAGTCAGCGTGTATTTCTTAGAACTGCTTCTGCTGCAGGCTTGTGCTCAGGGCCTCCACTCTCCCCGAGGCCTCCTTCACCAAGCGGAGCATGCGGGCACCCCTTGGGGCTGTGCCAGTGCCAAGCTTAGGATGGGGATAAAGGCTAGCCGAGTGACGACAGCTAGCAGGTCTGATGAGCCACTCCTCTGTAGGCATTTATAGATGGATGGGTCTCCACAGGGCTGAGGTCCTTCGCCAGGGTGTTACCTGATGAGCTCTGGATTGGGGGGTGTTCGGAGTGTCTGCTCTGGGTCAGTCTGTGAGTGGGAAGAACAGTCTCTGTATTCTCTTTTGACTGGAGTAAAATCTTGGGGTATGCCCCAAGGGTCGTGGGCTTTAAACTCAAATCAGGTGGTTTTAAACCATTGGAAACAGCAGTAGAACTTTTTTAAGTAGTGGACCTCCTCTGGGAGCTACTGAGATGGCTCGGCAGGGAAAGGCACTTGCCAAGACTTGACTACCCTGTGGTGGAAGGAGAAAACCATTTCCCACAAGTTGTCCTCCGATCTCATGCGCACCTTGTATGCAGTATGCCCATGCACATAGACATGCGCATGTTAGAACATAGGCCTGCACCTTTAGGCCGAATCCCATAACATGAAGAGATCAGGCCACACCTGAGCATAGTTAAGACGATGTCTGTGCTGTGGACTAATGATTTATGGTCGTGGCTCCTCCGTGTGATTGGTTGTGATGAACTGAATCACGTGATGTGAAAGTTCCTGTCACCCTTAAAGGGTTACAAAGAGCCAGATTTTCTCATTTGTTTGGGGGAATCTGCTCATGGAGGTGCTCTGAAGGCTGCTCCCTGAAGACATTCCTTGTCCCCAACCTCCTCCATCCCTCTCCCAGGGACGCCTTGGAGCCGCTGCTCTAGCCTGCCCCCCTCGCCCCACTTCCTTCCAGCCCTTAGTGGAGGGCCTCTCCAGGCTTTAAAGAAAAGCCTGTCCTTCCCTTTAATGCCCGCTCTTGCTTAGACCTCCATAATTGTATTCTTTCTGCCTAATACCTTCCCCTCCCACCCCCTGGCCTGATCACAACCTGGAGGCCATTCCATTCTAATAAACCTCACTGAAGGAAATTGTGTCTCCGCCTCCTTTTGTGAAGACAACTGTGTTCTTGTTTTATTTAAAGGCACACACACAAATGTTAAAAAGGAAACAGTGGGACTTCCTGACCATCAAAGGGTTGTATGTGGAGAGCTAGAAAGTCTCATTCTGGTGGCCATCCGTCCTCGTGTGAGGGTGACATGAATGACTTGGAAGGCAGAACGGGTTTCCTGGTTTCAGGTTCTGGTCTGGGAAGGAGGAAACACGGGGTCTCCTTGAGTGCTGGTCTCAGGTGTGTGTGTTTTGTTCTGCTTTAAGAGAGCCCATCAAAGGAACTCGGTGTCTAGCGCGTGCCCTGGCTCAGCTCAGCACGGCCGCACCCCCACCCGTGGGGAGGAAACCCCGACGGCGCCGACGTCACGGCGGGGGCGGGGCCGGGCTACCCCGGGGGCGGGGTGGGTGCCCCTCAGGAGGACGCGAGACGTGCTGCAGAGTGGACTCGGCCCGCTGACGGTGAGGAGATGGCAGCGCGGGGTCGGGAGCCTCAAGGGGACGCAGGCGGGCGGAGGGCGGAGAGGGAGGGCCTCGCCGAGGGGGCGCGGGCGGGCGGGTGGAGGGCGGGGTCCAGCTCAGGAAACGCGGGAATGAGGAGAAGGCCTCGCCGAGGGGACGCGGCCGGCGGAGGGGAGGGCCTCGCCGAGGGGGCGCGGGCGGGCGGAGGGGAGGGCCTCGCCGAGGGGGCGCGGGCGGGCGGAGGGGAGGGCCTCGCCGAGGGGACGCGGCCGGCGGAGGGGAGGGCCTCGCCGAGGGGACACGGCCGGCGGAGGGGAGGGCCTCGCCGAGGGGACGCGGCCGGCGGAGGGGAGGGCCTCGCCGAGGGGACGCGGCCGGCGGGGGAGAGGGCCTCGCCGAGGGCGCGCGGGCGGGCGGAGGGGAGGGCCTCGCCGAGGGGACGCGGCCGGCGGGGGAGAGGGCCTCGCCGAGGGGACGCGGCCGGCGGGCTGGCGCTGGCCCGCCCAGGTTCGTGGCCCGGACCGGCGTGCAGCAGGCCCCTCCCCCGGAGCAGAGCGGGTGCGCGCAGGGCGACATTGCGGTCTCCCGGGCTGGCGAGTGTGGCCGGGGTGAATGCAGAGAGCTCTAGCCTTTCTTGCGGCATCGTGAACCCATCGAAATAAACCCCGGGGGGAACGGCTTTCCCGCTGAACACTGAAGCCGTGCCCTGTAGTGGCCGCGACAGTTTGACCCCGACCTAATGGGCCATCCGTGAAAGAGGTGGCCTCGATGGCAGGGAGGACGCTGGGGCCTGGGGAGTCAAGCCTTACGTTTTGTGACTTTATAGGTCTGAGAGGCAGCGCTGAAGAATGTGCGGGCGAACATCCTGTCACTTGCCTAGAGATGTTCTCACGAGGGCCTGTGCCTATCACGATCGCCAGGGCAGGCGGCAGCTCCCGCAGTGGAGGGACCCCGAGAAGTACTGCCCCTCCTACAACAAGAGCCCTCAGTCGAGCAGCCCAGTGCTTCTCTCCCGGCTGCACTTTGAGAAGGTAAGGACTGTGTCAACACCGTACTAGCTTCTGGCCCAGCATGGTGATGGTCCTGTGACTCCTGATTCCTGTGATGTCTGCCCAGCCTCCGGAATGACCTTGAAAGCAGCCTTTAAAGGCAGATTTAGGCCCTAATTGAAAATCATTCTGGGCCTTGGTAAGGAGTAAGTCAGTATTCTCCAGGCTCAATTAAACTGTTTTAATGCATGCCCAGTTTTTATAAACCTCATAGTTGAATACATTTAAAAATTGTTTTGAGACAGAATCATACTATATATGTAGCTCTGGCTGTCCTGGAACTCACTATATAAGCCAGGCTGGCTTCAAACTTAACAACAAACCTCTTGCCTCTGTCTCCAGAATTCTGTATTACAGGTGTGTGTCACTCTACCCGGCTTGAACCTTTTTTTTTTTTTTTTTTTTTTTAAGGTAGCCTTCAAATATCATTGATTTATCAATGTCATCTGAGTGTCTTTAAAAAACAAGCAACAACAACAAAAAACCCCACCCAAGTGTGGTGTGTGTGGTGGTTCACACCTTTAATCCCAGCACTAAGCAGACAGGCAGGCAGATCTCTGTGAGTTGGAGGCCAGCCTGGTCTACACAGTGAGTTCCAGGCTAGTCAAGGCTGCATAGTGAAACTCTATGTCTCAAAAAAAAAAATTGGGGAGCCTGTAAAAGGACTCGGTGGGTGAGCGTGCTGCCAATCCTGACAGCCTGAATTTGATCCCCAAAGCCTACATGGTGGAAGGAGAGAACCTGTTCCTGCAAGTTGTCCTCAGAGCTCCACTCCCACTCTGTGGCGGAGAGTGGACACATAACATAAATAAAAATGTGATTGAGGCAGGTAATGCTGCTCGGTGATATAAAGCATATTTCATATTCTCAGAGCCTTTGGTTCAGTCCTAGCACATGAAGAATTTTTTTTTAATATTTTAAACATTTTTTTTTAATGTATAGAAATGTTTTGTCTGTATGCATGTATGTATGTGCAGCAGGTATGTGCCTGGTGCCCTCAGAAGTCATGGCTTCAGATACCCTGGAACTGGAGTTACAGAAGGCCACCGTGTGAGCGCTTAGAATTAAACCCAGGTCCTCTCCAAAAGCAGCAAATCCCCTTAACTGCTGAACAGACCGTGGTCCCTGTTCCAATGGGTGGATCTTGGGGAGCAGGAATGGGAAAATGGAGCCCCTAGCAAACATAGCCCTGGCTTTGGGTCATTTGAATTTGCCCATGTAGTGTTTGACTGCACATCTGTAGTATGATTTGTTTAAATTGCTAGGGTTTCTTAATTTGGTAAATATTTGATACTTTACTTTTCTCAAACCTATAAATTCTACAACAAAATTAGGAGCATTTCAGCAGTTTAACTGCCAGTGTATATGTATAGATAGCAATATTTGTATTTGAAACCACTGATTTGCAAAATACTTCCTCTTTTTTTTTTTTTTTTTTCATCTACCACAGTGCCACCAGCTGTTCTATTCCAAATTCAAAACTTGTAGAGGAAAAGATGACTAATACTGAGCAGTACTTTAAGTATTTTAGCTTCTTGGCCACTTTGTATCCATTGCCCTAGTGTTTGGGTTGGTTTGTGCAATGATGAAAAAACTCACAAGGTGTCCAGTAGAATTTGTGAGAGCAAGATGCTAGCCAGAAGTTTCTTCAGTCCTGCCTGGCCCTGCAGTTGGGACAAATCTCTCCCACCCACACCCCTCAGCTGCTTAGTCCCAAGTAAACACACAGAGGCTTATATTATTTAAAAAATGTATGGCCTGTGGGTCAGGCTTCTTGTTAGCTAGCTCTTATAACTTAACCCATTTCTGTTAATCTATATGTTGCCATGTGGCCGTGGCATTATCAGTCTGCTGGCATTTCATTGCTCCTTGGGCAGCCAGCTGCCCTTCTTTCTGTGTCTCCGCTTAGATTTCCTGCCTGGCTGTAAGTTTTCTTGCCATAGGACAAAACAGCCTTATTTATCAACCAATAAGAGCAACACATATTCACAGCGTACAGAAAAACATCCCACAGCACAAGATTTTTTTCAACCAAGACATCACTGACATTTAAAAAAAATTATTTATTTTTACATGAATAGGTGTTTTGTCTGAATGAATGACTGCACCCATGTGCATACAGTGTCTGTGGAGGCCAGAAAACGGCACCAGAATTGGAGTTAACAAATACTTGTGAGCCACCATGTGGATGCTGGGAATAAAACTTTGGTCCTCTAGAGTAGCAGCCAGTGCTTTTACCCACTGAACAGTCTCCCAGACCCACTGCTGACATTTTTTTTTTTTTTAAAGATTTATTTATTGTGTATACAATGTTCTGCCTGCATGTATCCCTGCAGTACAGAAGAGGGCACCAGCTCTCACTACAGATGGTTGTGAGCCACCATGTGGTTGCTGGGAATTGAACTCAGGACCTCTAGAAGAGCAGTCAGTGCTCTTAACCTCTGAGCCATCTCTCCAGCCCAAATTATTTATTTATTTATTGTGTATAGTGTTCTGGCTGCATGTTTGCCTGCAGGCCAGAAGAGGGCACCAGATCTCATTTTGGATGGTTGTGAGCCACCATATGGTTGCTGGGAATTGAACTCAGGACCCCTGGAAGAATAAGCAGTGCTCTTAACCTCTGAGCCATTTCTCCAGCCCCCACTGCTGACATTTTAATGGTGGGATAATTCCTTGTTACACAGAGCCATCCAGTACATTGTAAAATGTTTTAGCAGTCCCCTGGCCTCTACCCAGTAGATACCTGTAGCAGTCTCAAGCCAGAGAAACTAAATGTCCCTTAGCATTACCTGAGGTGTCTGAAGGGTTTTGCATGTTGAACATTGACTTCATTGTTTGATTAAAGTCCCCTTATCAGCTAGGAAAAGGGAAAACACTCAGAATCATCCCAAGATGCCAATCAGAGATCAGCCTTAGAATCTGACCTCCTAAAAATAATAATCTGTGGCCTGCTGTATTAACTTCTGTGAAAAATTAATGCTCTGGGCATTCCTGGTGTAAACTCCTTACTCATCTTAGGTTGTAGCTACTCTTCCATTCTCTTGTCTATATCCAGTACCTTTGATGAGACCCAGATTAAGATCCTCCACCCCCTCCTTTCTCTGTTCTCTCTCACATACCACTCTCCACTGTATTTTTTTATATATATATATGTGAATCACATATCTGGCCTTAACCTGTGGGATCTTATATTATGATTCAATTTGATTTTTATATTTATGTGACACAGAGAGGGTGGATATGTGTTGAGAACTGCTGGAGGCTCCTGCACCATTTGGGTTCCAGGGATTAGAGTCAAGTTGTCAGACTTAAGTGACAAGCAGCTTTACCCACTAAGCCATCTTATCTTACCAGCCCACAACCCAGTGTTTTTATGTCTGTGTGGCTTCATGTTAAAGTACAGGCAATTGCTGGGCCTTGAAACACATGCCTGTAATTCTAACACTTAGGCAGATGATCAGAACGAAGTT